CCTGTTCTTACCACTTTGGCTACATTTAAAGTCCAGTGTGTAAGATTCAAGGCAGACTAAGTGGCATCTTGTGGTGATGATTGCAGATTGCAACCTGCTGACACTTCTGGTTAGAATTCCCTCAATGCTCACTGCTTAGGAGGCTTTTTGCCATGAGCAAAATTATCCATAGAGGTCTTTTCCTCTCCAAACCACATACCACTGTGAGCATGTTAGCTTGCAGATGTTTAGCCTTACAGTGGTGCTAGCATGGCTGTAGACTGCTGTTTACAGCTGGTATTAACATGCGTCTTGGGTGATCTGATCACAAGTGGACAGCTCCAGAGTCTCCACATGCCTCTTGAGTGGCCACCTGTGATGTGACAACACCTCCCCATTCTGTATGCAAATTACCATGTACATCATTTCTTTACCATCATAGAGACAATGCTGTGGACAGCTGGTGAGAGTCTATCCGCACACACACAGGGACAGAGCTAACTGTTAGTATCACACATCTAATGTTACCTAATGGTTATCAACAGGTTTAGCGACAAGGTCATGCTGTTTCTGTGTTAGAGTGAATTTTTTGGCACTGATTAAAAGCTGCTGCTGTGTTAGCTTGTGCTAATTGGGCACGTGCTAAACTAACCGTTCACTGGGAGGAGAGCGGCTCTGGAGATGGTTCTTCAGCGTCTTAACCTGTGTAATGGCAGCAACAGAAAGTTTGCCTATCTGGCAGGGAGTCGATAAGCAAGAATGTCAGCTGAGTATGGTGATCCTTTAATGTGGCCCAGGACACATGAGCTTGCTTATGTTCCATCGCAGTTGTTACGACTCCTCCCCCTGACACTTCCCTGGCTACATTTCTTATGATGTCACTGGCTCTAGGTCGTGGCCGGTATCATTAACAGTGAAAACACATTTCACATTAAAGGATCTGACTTGCAGACAGGTCCAGATATTTGACATGCTGGGTATCTCTCGGGTGTTTGATGCATCAGTGCATCTCTCAGATTGTGTATTTGAAAATGCACACAAAGCAATCCTCGCTGACAGGAACAAGCACAAATAGTCTGCAATCTCCTAAAACTGTGCAAGTGAAACTGCATTAGGATATGTTTCTTTATAAAATCTGCAGCTACTGCATCAAATTCGGACTCATCTGCATTTTGATTAGTGGCTAAACTTCTATCCACAGGACTTTCTTCTTGTCTGATGTCTAAAACCCTTCACAATTTTGAAAACATTGTTTAGCAACATTTACTTTTAGTTTGCTGCTTCCATCGGTTTCATCTTCTGACACGGCACCATGATTCGGCATCCTGACTTTTCCCCAGTATTTCCAGCACCTGTAAAAGATAATGAGACAAGTGGGACTGAATTCTACCAACAATGCGGAGATATTGGCAGCCAAAATATGACTATCTAATGTGCTAAATTATTTGCTAAAGGTCAGCAAAGGTACACAGCTTCTCAGTGAAGCACTTGCTAAAACATTTGCAATTTCCTTACTAAATGTCTTCTTCAGGCACAGTATGGCCACTTCTTCATTCTCAATCAAATTGGACTTAAGTGTCATTCAGGTGTAATGAATGGCCAAAAAACAACCCAAAAACTTTGGAAATACCCAGACAGTTTGCTGCTTCTATCTGGTAATGCTGACATGGCACAATTATATGGCATCCTGACTTCTTTCCCCCAGTATTTCCAGCGCCTAATGAAAGAACTGGGACCAATAAGCAGACTCCATGCTTATAATCAGCAACAGGTTGCCAGTCAGCACAACAAACAAACCCAGAGGCAGGCAGCGAACCATCCAAGACAGAAGGTAGTTAGAACACATACAGAAAATTAGACAGGAAACTGCAGCAACACCTGACAAACAACAGCAGGTAATATGCCCATTAAATACACGGGCACTAATGAGGTGATGAGCAGCAGCTGAGCAGTCAGGTGACGATCAGGTGATCAAGTGACAGCAGCTCGAAGGCAGGTGAGGCATGACAGAAGTCTGGCACCAAAATGCAGAGGAGCAAGAAGTTGAGGGGGCAGGGGAGGACGAAGGAGCAGCTGTCGCCATGACAGCTTACACAGCACATCTGCATGCTCCGAGCTTCATTTTTAGATGTGCACACCCTCCACCTGTAGATCTCATAATGATGATGTGAGCAGATTAGACTGCAGGTTTTGTCACATTTAAGAGTTTTACGCCTTGTAATATTAAAAACTGAGGGATGAAGACGCTGTGACGCTCCCTGTGTATTTCTGCATTGCTTTTAGTGCGTATGCTTGTAAAAATGAATCATTTTTATCATCTTCTGCACTTTGTGTGCGTCTTATCCTCTTCCTACTCTATAACCTGGAGAATGAGCAGCAAGAGGCAGATATTTCTTGAGGCTGTTAAGTTTTAGATAATTTTTCATTTTCTGCGACCACAGCTGTGATACCCCACAGTTCTTTTTTCCCCCCTTTAAATGTTCTCAATTTTTCTTGTGCAGCACTTTTACATTCCATTTGCTTTCCTAATGTCTCAGGCTGCTCATTTGCGAGAAACACCCAGAAACTCTCAGCTCGCCAGAGGTCCCACTGCAAGAGTCCAAAAGTGAACTTTCTCAACATCATTTTAAAATCAATTCTAATTCCAATAACTACAAAATACATACACATCTGCAGCTGCATCAGACCGGGGCCTCGCTGGAAATGAAAAAGACAAAAACAGATAAACAGAAATCCCACACCAATCCAATCATAATTTCCAGGAAGCTTCAGTTCCATTATAGGGAGCTCTGTACATTGCTGCAGCCGGCTGAATCAGCACTTTCAGGGGTTATTTCTCATAAGGCTTGTGTAGTGAGCGTCAGGGACCTCGTAAATATCCCAGCTGCACAGCCAGAACAACACAAGTCTCGCTTCACTGCACAAAACATTAATGCAGATTCTTTCCCATCAGGGATTCTGCTCAGATTTTAATCAGTGTAGCATTTGTAGAGAAGGTTTCTCTTGCAAAATGAGGACTGTATCATAGCGTATCTGGAGGAGGCCTTACAGGTAAAGAGCATGCTGACATGGGATGTTATCATCACTGAGGCAAAATACCTAATGTCCAGCAGTACACTTCTGCATGACCTTTAGAGAATGAGATATTTCTTGTCCTGACACTTTCCATAACAGATTCCTTTCATGCCCCCGCTCCAGCCTCCACCCTCCACCCTCCCTCAGGATGAGGAATGGTGACTCCTCTTTGACACAAAGAGAGGTGAGCCACAGACTAAACTCCCATACAGATTAAGTCAATGTCTGAGCAAGAGGGCAAAGTGCAGAAAGAGGATTGAATAGAATACATACCAAAGTGCATCCTGGTTAAATCCCTTGATGGAGGGCATTTAAGGCAAAATAACAAAAGCTTTTGATCAGTGCGGGCTTAAAGGAAATCCATTACTGAGGGCTAAAATGCCTTTAGTTCTAGCCTGTAGTGTCCATATAGTAACTCTGTGAATTCAACTGTACTGCATCACGTGTTCCAGTCTGTTGTGTCCAGGGGTATAGGAAAACCTATGTGGGATGATGACAAAATGGTGGGCACACACATACACACACGGACACACACGCGCGCACGCGCACGCACACACACACACACACACACACACACACACACACACACACACCTCTCTCACACACGATGCCAATTATTGACTTGACATGTTGGAATCTGTCCATGGTGCTGAAATGAGTCGTTGAGCTCCACTGAGGATTTAACTCTTTCCTGTGGGCTGCATGGTGACTTAAATCACACAAGTCATATTTTCACACTGTGGAGACCTGCATACAATAATCTTACCAACATATATTAAGATTTTGAGACGACATCTTCAGTATTGATACACAGATTGAACTAGACACCATATGGAATAAACACATACCAATGATACTTCAAAGTCACTGTAACACCACAGGCGCACATTAGTGCCTAATAGGGATTAAATATGTTTTACTTATGTTGTAGCCTATCATTAAAATCTCTGCTGTTTTCTATTATTTCCACTTTAAGTCCCTATATGTTTCCTGTATTATTGGAAGAAGTGATTTTCCGCCAGCAGTTGTTCTAGGCCACTCAAATTGCCACTGTGTGTGTGATTAGAGATGCGGTTGCGTCACCGACTCGGCAGCCGGGACAGATGACTGGCGCAGATGTAGAGTCAAGCCGGCCAGAAGGAACCCGGAAATCTTGTATTCTGGTCTTCAAAATAAAAGCAGAAAGGGATTTTTTTTTTTTTTTTTTGGACTAATTAGATCCTCGGCCTTTGGGTGGTGCACAAGCCTATGCCAAATATAATCCATGGGTGATTTACTCTGAATGACTGGATGCTTTAAATGAGAATTAGAAAAAACAATAGCATTTAACACTTCCTGATTTAAAAAAATCTTATAATGTTTGTGTCTGTAACGTTTATATATGGCTCCTAACCTGCAGAACTATTATAAACAATATTAAGACTCAGCAGAGAGGGATTTTGACTTGACAGTAGGTCCTGAAGCTGGAGGCCCCATTCTTCAGACTTAAACTTTTAGTTGGCTCTGTCTCTTTTAATGCAGGACTGAGAGGCGACAGGCCAAATGGAAGCTGTCCAAACTCTACAATAATGCTGTCAGTAGTAAATTACCACAAGAGTTTCGACCAAACTGGGCACTCTGTGAAGCAAAAATAGGCTATAAGCAGAAGGCAGGCACTTTAGATAAGTCAATATGACTTATAATGATTCTAATTTCTTATATTTCTAATTTATTTCTTTGGGAAAAAAATCCAATTTACATACTTTTTTTCCCTTTACTTTTAATGGTTTTAACATAATACACATTTTTTCTATTTGAACTGAATTTATCATTTTATCCTACTCAAAACAATTCGATGTTGAATATGTTGGAGATTTTATTGTGAAAGCCTTGACAGGAAGTGACTGTGTGCGTTTAGTCCAGCCTGTCGCTGGTGCTCCTGGCTCAGATACCGATCAGCAGTTGGCTTTGGCAGGACAGCCGAGCCCGAACGCTCCTCACGCGGGCGATGTGCCGCTTCGCGCTGACGTCTCCAAAGGTGTCATTGCACGCGAGTTATGCCACCAGTTTGACACATTTAATTAAAAATATGTCTGAATGTTTTGGGAATAAGTGAGTGTTTAGTGTGACAGCTTTAAGTTTGAGAAGTGGACCTGCTCTCGTGCAGGACGAGACCCGTCAAAGCTGCGCTGCAGGAAATGTTCCTCTGTACTGGTGGGACTCAAACTCCAGCTTTTAAATAACCGACCGGAGCAGCTCGTACTTAAAGTGAAGCGGCAGGATGAGACGAGGGGAAGAGGAACACGACTCGGACATCACGTTAACGTTTGTGCCGCCGGCGTGATTTACAGTTTTCCACCATGGAGGAGAAGTTCAATAGACTCATCTTCATTCCCATTGCGGCGGTGCTCTTCTTAATGATCGGCTACCAGTATGTGTGCCCGGCGGACAGCAACACCTGCTACTTCAGAAGTGACGACAAAGGGCTTTTCCAGAGATATACATCAGGGATGGAGTTAGTTTACACGGAGCAGGAGGCGGACGAGGACCTTCCCTCCAAAATCACATCCAAATTTAACTTCACGGAGCGGGACCTGGACAGGCACGTCGACTTCAACATCCGAGGAGATGATGTGATGGTGTTCCTCCATATTCAGAAGACCGGCGGCACGACGTTTGGGCGGCACCTGGTCAAAAACATCCAGCTGGAGCAGCCCTGTGACTGCATGCCCGGCCAGAGGAAATGCACCTGTCACCGGCCCGGGAGAGCCGAGTCGTGGCTCTTCTCACGGTTCTCCACAGGCTGGAGTTGCGGGCTGCACGCGGACTGGACCGAGCTCACGAGCTGTGTGCCTGTGGTGATGAACAAGAGGGACAAGAAGAATGCCCAGAAGAACAAAAGGTGAGGTGCGACCTGCGGGACAGGTGGAGTCTATAAGTGGGCTGCCACGCGCTCATTTATTATCTGACCAATTCATTTACTCATCAGCTCTTTTTTTTACTCGCTCACTCATTCATTCATATTTTCATTTGCAGAGTCACTCTTTTAATTCCTCTTGGTTACATTTACTCGATTTTAAGTCTGTTCGTTTACTTTACTCATTTAGTCACGCACTTATTCACCTATTCACTCACTCATCACCTACAAATTGATTTTCAACACCTTATTTACTGGTTTGCCTACAGACTCATCTTTTCAATGTCAGGCAAATCAGCCCCTCACTTATTCGTTCACTTACTCACTCACTCACCCTCACTTATTCACTCATTCATTCCCTCACTTAATCAGTCACTCCTTTACTTATTTACTCACTCACTCACTAACTTACTCACTTATTCACTCACTGTCATTCACTCACTCATCCACTTACCCTCTCACTTATTCACTGACTTCCTCAGTTATTCACTCACTCACTTATTCACTCACAACCTCACGTAATCACTCACTCACTCACTCACTCACTCACTCATATATACATTCACTCACTCACTCCCTCATTTATACACTCACTTGTTCACTGGCTCCCTCAAATATTCATTCACTCACTCACTTCCTCACTTATTCTCCCACTTACATATATTCACTCACCTATTCACTGGTTCCCTCACTTATTCATTCACAAACTCTCTCTCTTATTCACCCACTCATTCACTCACTCCCTCACTTACAGCCACTCCCTCACTTATTTACTCACAAGTATTCATGCACTCTGTATTCACTCACTTATTCACTCACTCTGTCATGTATTCACTCAATCATTCACTTATGCCCTTTTTCACTCATTCATTCAGTCACTACCTCACGTAATCACTTACACTTCTTCACTCACTCTGTCATGTATTCACTCACTTATTCACCTACTCATTCGTTTATTCACTTACTCCCTTATTCACTCACTCACTCACTTCCTCACTTATTCTGTCACATACACATTCACTCACCTATTTATTGTCTTCCTCACTTACTCATTTCATGAACTCTCTCTCTTATTCACCCACTCATTCACTCACTCCCTCATTTATTTACTCACACATATTCATGCACTCTGTCTTGTATTCACTCACTCTGTCATGTATTCACTCACTCCCTTTTTCACTCATTCATTCAGTCACTACCTCACGTACTCACACTTCTTCACTCACTCTGTCATGTATTCACTCACTTATTCACTTACACACTCACTTACACATTCGCTTATTCACTTACTCCCTTATTCACTCACTCACTCACTCACTTATTCACTCACTCACTTCCTCACTTATTCTGTCACATACACATATTCACTCACCTATTCATTGGCTCCCTCACTTATTCATATTCTGTCTCTTATTCAACCACTCATTCACTCACTCTCTCTTATTCAGTCACTCCCTCACTTACTTACTCACTCTGTCATGTATTCACTCACTTATTTGCTCACTCACTCATTTCGCTTATTCACTTACTCCCTTTTTCACTCATTCACTCAGTCACTCCCTCACTTATTTACTCACACTACTTCACTCACTCAGTCATGTATTCACTCACTTATTCACTTACTCACTCACTCACTCACTCACTTACTTTTTCCACTTAATCACTCAGTCCTACTTATTAATTCATTAATTTGCTCACTCACATTTTCACTCACTCCCTCACTGATTCACTGGTATACTCACAGACTCATGTTCCTGATATGTAGTCATTCATTCATTCATTCATGAGACAGATTCCTGAGTGTAACTGTAGTGATTAGTTAATGAATTGATCAGTCAACAGACAGGATAAAATGGCCGACAGTTTTCATTATGACTTGTAACTAGTTTATGGAGCAAACAATGAGAGGAGTTTTGTAGTAGAGCTGGAGAGTGTCCTTCTCTTGACTACAGGCACTAAGTCAAGGGTAACTGGGTTTTTTAAGACTGTAGGTCGTGGGACAGATTTCTCCTTGGCTCTCAGTTTCCTCCAGGGCTGCTCATGTCAGCCATGCGTGTTCTTATTGGCGTGTAATGTAGGGTATGGAGCTGTTAAAGCTGCAGTGTTAACATGCACACCACATGACATGTCAGCACCAGCAGCCGTCTCCTCCGGCACATTCAGAAGCAGCCAGCAGACAGGCCGCTTCCTCCTGCGAAGGTCTGTTTCAATTTCCTGTAATTACAGAAGCAATACAGCTCAGCTTAAGGGAGTAAATCACTTAAGAAGGGCAGGGTCCTGTGAGGTGTGCCGCCTGCGTGTTGAAGCCAATTTGCCTTGCATTTGGTCCAGAGAGCAAATCTCCATATGTTACAGAGAGCGTTAAAGGGGGACGGGGAGCGCCTTCAAGAGTCCTTCCAATCCATTAACAGTCCTCTGTGGCAGCCATCAGACTTAATTTAACGCTTTTAAATAGTTTCGAAGAGGCGCCTCCGAGCCATATCAGCACTACGAGTGAGTCAACAACACTCCAGTCAACACTTGTCAGCTCAATATAATAGTTAGGGAAAAATCAGCATTCATTAACATTGGCACTTAGCTGTGTAAAGGCTGATTGAGTGGCTTCATTTTTTAAAGACGGCACCAAATCTGGGCTGTGCAGCAATTTCCCTGCAATAACGTGTTGATTTTTTGATTAAGGGAAATGTTTATTAGAGGGTCAAGTTTCCACTCGGAGCTAATGAGTGGTGGATTAACTCTTGTGGGTGTCGACTTAGAGACAGCTCTCTTTGTGCTTCATCACTGCAGCAGACAATATCCGATACACTATCATACTGCAGTGTGATCTTGGAGAGTACTCGCTGATAATGTGATACTTCATTGATCGCTGTGGTGAAATACTCCTTCTGCCTGATCCTTCCACAGGGAGGTCAGAGGTCATCGCAGATTCTGATCAGCTTTGGGAATTCAGCTTCTTGCTCAAGGACAAATTTGTGTCTGCTGTGTTTAACAGCACTGATTATGATGTTGCAACATGCATGTTTTTGATGTGAAATTTTTGTCTTGATCCATTAATTCTTTAATTTTGTAATAGTAATTTTGAAAGGTACAATCACGGAATGGGGGATAGAGTTCTCTTGCATTTAAGCCGTCTTAATTGGCATCTGTAGAAAAGGCACAGCTGGCAGGATGGTACCGTGGAAGGGTGTGACGTTCTGGCAGCATGTTATGTGTGCAATCCACTGCTGGGGGATTAAAAAAAAGGAGCTAGCAGCAGTTACCAGCTAACTCGAAGAAGAACAGCAGAGGGGCATGGGAAGCTTACCCAGGGCTCTGAATATGCTACGTCCGGCACTGTCTTGTGTGCACAGTTGTCACACAGGACCAGATGCAGCATATATGTATATATATATTTAGAGGAAGGTATCATAATTGAGCCAAACGCACCATGAGTCACAACTCAATCTATACCCGTGAATTTATTGGACGACTTATGAGTCATAACTCATTCAACAGCCACAAATCTGTCACATGAAGTTCTCATTTCCCACGGATAATGCCTGGTTGATTTTCTGTCCACACACACTTAAAAACACTTATAAAAATCACTTTTTCAAATATCAGGGGACCATCGGATCGGCCTGGAAATAGACGACCAAATTAAGTGAAGCCCTCCTGTCGTTTTACATCAAAGCTGCTGAGTAAGACTACACACAGCTTATTCTGCACTTGATGTGTTGCCACAAGGTTACATGTCGCGGTTTTATCAGACCTGAAAGGCCCTTGTCCTGTCACTTCGGGCGATGTAGATGGCTTGTGACGCACGGGATGAGTTTGTGCATGTGTCTGTATTTGTGGTCAGGCTTGTTACTGCTCAGCTTAATACAATATTTAATGCTACTCTGATCTGTTCTGTAAGATCGCCCTGCTTTGGTAGATTTAAGTGTATTACAGCCCTTTTCCATCTGTTCCTCAGAGAAGTTAAGACAGATTAGTTGTTTTTCTAATAATCCCCATTGCTTTAAACTGTACTTGGTACCTGAAGTCCAGACGTAATCATTGAGATTTTTTCAAGCTGAACCAATTTCATGTATTTTATAAAGCACTCAAATCATTTTCTCCCAGTCTGACTGCAAAGCACAGTCCAACTCAGTAATAGCATGTTCTGAAGGATGACTCTCGTCTTATACAAGTCACATATAGCAATGGGAATGCAGACAGCCAGGGATCAAACATCATGGGAATGGATGACGCCCACACCTATCTTAAGGCTACATCCTGCAGACTGTGATGTAGTTTGCAGAGAGAGCCTTATCTCAGCCCTCAGACCCAACACTGGTTTATTTAACTTTTGCGCACAAGAAATAACATATGGGATTCCTACAAATTCCTCTCAGAGAGTACATTTACTCAAATACTGAGCTTACAACTTAGAGTATTTCTATTTTCTGCTACTTTACACTTCTACTTCACCTTAAAAAAATGCAGATTTCCATCCACTGCTGTTAATATCAGGTGTTTTGCGCATTAAGATACGCAGTTACCTGTCTTTAAACAGTTGCAGAAGAAGAGGGTGGCAAGTTTTTGTCTCTTCTGTGGAGCTTGGAGATACAGTGCGGACTTTTTTGAATTTCAAAGTCTCCACTCCAACAGACAGACATGTATTTTGAGAGGTGTTGGCAGCAGGGATGCAAAGATTTATTGGCCAAACACTGGTATCAGCCAATATTTGTCTTGTTGACTGTTACTGGCTTTTTCGGCAAATAAAATTACATTCACCGATGCCAGTGGCCAATGTTTTTCTGTTGTGTCACATCAATTTTGCCCAGGCTAAAAAGCAGGACAACAGAAAACATGTGTGGGACAAATAGAAATGTTCCCCGGGACGCTGTTGGGATGAAAGGATTGACGTATCAGGGGACACACCCTTTTTTCCTCTGATAATGCGATGTTGTAAACAATAAATCCGTGTTAAAATCAGCTGGAGAGTTAGTTAACATTAGGTA